CACTGTGATCTTCTTGCTTGGTTAATATCCACTGATATGAAAAAAAGTAAGAAACAAAATTAGTAGCACTTGTATAAAGTTAGACCACTATTGAATTGAATTCTATTTATTTTGCCTATGTCTTTTCAAAATTCAGATCCATTTCTCTGCCTTTCCAGACCATACATGGTGAATGTCATTTGTTTCTTCATTATTTTTCCCCCTCTAAAACCAGTACTTTGCTGTTCTACAATGCAGTGGTGACTTCTAGGCCTCCTGAGATAGATACGCAAGACTTTTTGCCCCTCTACTAAATGGCCTCAGGTTGCTGGATGGGGGTTTTGTGAGGTGGCTCTGACCTCGTTATTTACTGTCACCTCCTGTCTGACAAGTACAGCAGGTATGATGGGGCATCTCCTCTCCTTCCTTCCCCATCACATCCAGTATGGTCATTCTACCATGCTGTGGGCTTAGAACACAGAATATCAAACTTGAGTTAAATGCAAGCCAAGGAAGGGCTCGAGTGGCTGTCTCAGTTACTGTGGAATATTGAACAGAGCATGAGAAACCAAGGTTCCACTCCCTGCTCTGCCCCTTAATTCCCTTACTGAATTCCCTAATTCCCGTACTGAACTAGTTCCCTTACTCATGTTCCCTAACTTTGCAGTCTCTACTTCATTATTAGGAAATAATAGGTTTTATTCATGGATATTTAACACCTCTCGCTTGAAGATTCTTAAAGCTATCTTTAAAATAGACTTCGTAAAATCCATTTTATCTGCTCAAGTACAATACCAGTTTTCTTTTTGACTCTCCAAAAAGCAAGGAGTCCTAAAAGAATGAGACGGGAAAATAGTTGTGCTTCAGATAGGTAAAGTATTTATTTATTCACACACAAAAAATTGGGTATTTGTATGTTGATTATTTTATAAAAATATCATTCCTTTTCTTTTATGCTTACATACATATAAAATATAATGGCTATTATCTGTATAGATATGTATATATGTATATAAAATAATATACATAGCCACATATATACAAATAAGAATCTTTTGTAGAGAGAATTAAAAACAAAAACCTTAATTTTTTCAGTTATAGAAATAAATATCTATTTCTTTGAAAGTTTTTGATTAACTATAGGTATACTTCAGGGTAACTCAGGCCAACAGGGGTTCCAGACACTCCTGTGGGAAAACAAAATGGTTTCATAGATAATGATCTATAATAATAGAATTACTAAATGTACAGTGACTGCCTTAGGAAATGAGCAGATGAGATTGCTGGATGTAAATTCAAGAAATGCCTAATCTAGGAGTCTGGCTCCTTTGAGTTAGAAAAATAATAAAACATCAATGGGGAGGAAAAAGATTGGAGATAAAAACTGAGTTGTGTTAGCAATCTGATTAAGGAGAAGGGATAAAGTAAAATTTGCTGTCCTTATTGAACCATGGGTGTTATTAATGACTCACTGTAAAGGACCTTCAGGTACACATACCAGTGGGGGAGCCTGAGGAAACAGCCCAGAATCAAATAATGGTCCCTAAGGCAAAATCAAAACATACTACAAGCATAGTAATTCTAATTATAAGATCTAAAATCATCTTCTAAAATATTTATTGAGAAGGTAAATCTCTAAGTTATAAAACGTTAAACTGCGAATTTTGCATCACAGAAGGAATTGACCGTGCCTAAAAGAATCCCCATTTTTAAGCCAATGGGATTGGAGAAGAAGGGGACAAAATGAACCAGAAAAAGAATGGATGAAGGAAAGCAGCAGGGAGGCCCAGAGGATGAATAAAAATATCCTGAATGGGCAGAGGCAGACCTGGGGTTTGGAGAAAAATTATACTGAGGAGGTGGCCTTGCCACCCAAAAACGTTCCTCCTAGAATGTCTGATCTAAAGGAATATGGCAATATTTTACTTTCCTTTTAATTTGCTTTTCATTTGTCAGACTTTAAAAAAAAACCTGTAATCATTCTTCTTGTCCTTTTGAAACAGAATGTATATTAAAGTATCACGCAAATGTAATCAGATAAAATATTTATATCCATTCTTTAAACTAAAGTTTTAAAATTAGAAGTTTTTCATGTTAAAAAGTCTCACACTGTATGTTTTCTTTACCTCCCTTACACACCTTGGAATACCATCCTATGTGATATTTAATAGTTGTTTTAATTTCCATACCAATATAGTGAATAGGTAATGTGCAATTAGAAAGAATTTATATTACTGATAAATAATTAGTTGTTTTCTAAAATATGGTGGAAAAGTTCCAGTTGTCCCTAAAACCTTTCTCTTGTTCTGAGAGCTTTTCCAGTGTTATATCTAAAAAGAAGATACATTTTTACAGCATAAAACAATTCCCTGAGACCAGAATTTATTAAAATAATTTTAACAAAGTATTTCTGAACCTGTTATAATATCATGTTTGATCTGTTCAATATAATCACTAATCCTTTTGACTTAATAGGGGAAGTAGAAAATTTTCAAGTATTATAATAGACTTTGTAATGTTTTTTTCCAGAACAAAATGTCTTTCCACTTGTAATAGTTGTAAATACCACTTATATTCTTATCTATGCCATCAATAAATATTGCTTGCAACTCATATTGTTACATTTAGGTCCAGAGAACTTCATAACTGAACTTAAAGTAAGACATCAACTCAATGAAAGCTATTAATTAATCCTGTTAAATTTAGCAACTTTCGCGTTCTTGATAGAACTTTGTAGGAGGGGTTGTTGGAAGGCATTACCAGGTTGTATGACAATTTTACACTTAGGACTTGCCATAGAGCACAGCTGGATCTGGAGCGTCATAGAGTCTATTTCCCTGAAGCTCACTGTTGAACAAGGAGTGATTTAGTTATTGGGTTGTGGGGCCAATACTGGCGGGTTAAAATGTGGTACGGTCTAGACATTTATAGTACAATAGTGCCCAATAAATATTTTTTAAATGAATGAATCTATAAACTTAGAACTTGATTGTACCTTAGGTTTGCCCTGAGAAGTTATGATTCAAATCCAAAGGAAACCTAGGATCCGTAACTTAATAAAACCTTCATATGTCTTTGTGAGGATACAAAATTCTTAAGACATAATTTTGAAAACCTATTTTAGGTTAGCCCACCACAAAGTTAAGATAGACATGCTTGTCAATACACCTGTGATAAGACATCTCTTATACTGATGCAGCTGTTTTGGAGAGTATAATGACAAATTAAGTCCTGTTGCTTTCATTTACTTGCTTGTATGACCATGAGCAAATGATTTAAAAAAAAAAAAAAGAAATATGTGAACTGTAGATAATAATAGCACTGATGGGAGAATTAAATAAGCTAATAC